TAGAGTATCAAGCTTGGATTAGCCCATTCGATTTTTCAGAGGCACCAAGCACTCTTGATCTTATTATCCAAACATTTAGGCAAGAACTTACGTCTACACAGGACAATTTTAATAAAAACCATGGTGAATTCCGATACCAGACATCGCTACCTTATAGCACCGATCCAAATCAATCTCTTAGTGAACACGATGATGCACCCAGTACCCCTGCTAAGCATCCCAGTGATGAGCTCAGTTTCGGGATTCTCCTGAATGACAGGAGTTTGCAAACGGCAGTGTAACACAGTGATTGGTCCTGATTCGACTACGGACTGTACGAACGCTTTGCCAAGATGATTGACTTGGAAAATTTGGCTCTTTGTCCACATAATCCACGGTTCGAACATTTGTTAACTCACCTTATTGATTACGGAACAAACTGCGCTTTGTTCGGTGATTGGACGATTGAAAAAAACCGCTTGGATCAAACTGGATAGCAAAACCCCAACCGCTTAGGTATAATAACTGAATAGTTCAGTCCATTAGTGGAAAGTCAATCGTGCCACTGGAGATGAACGATTAATACCAATAGCCTTCTGTTCTACTGTGCTTTCTAATCAGCTGTAACGATAAGCAGAGTTTATTTCTCTCAAATTCAAATATGAATCCCCTTTTAAACTGTACCATCGAGCGCAGCTGGACAGATTCCCTAACTCTGGTATGTTGTCCGATTAAAGATAAATCACTTGGCTGTCAGTGGTTTCATTTGATGCCTCTCATTCATATTATTCTATATCGGCATTGATGAAAGCCTACCATGGACACCCAATATCGATACAAGAAACAATCAAACCGAGATTTCATGTTGATCGAGAGGTCATGCCATACACAGTGTAACTATTGAATTGGTCTGTCACATCACCAGATTTGTCTATCTCTTATTTTTCCCCACGCTTCAGTCAAACACACATTCAACATGAACATGATCTTTTCCAAAAACAAGTGCAACGTCGGATGGAGGGCAAACTGGCTAGATTTAGCCAGTCAGTCAGTCTAACATGCGACCAGCAGAACATGCGCAATATATAATATAACCGACTGATTGTTCACCAGCCGAATTTATTGTCGCGTCTGGTTTTTGAATGTCGATTACGGATAGATCGGATATACGGGCAGCAGAGAACAGATGCACATGTGGTGGCTAAAATTATGCTAGAGGACTTCGGGACAGAGCAATGATCTATGGCTAAAACGGTCACGTGATTGTACGGTGAGCAGGCATCTGAACACAGACCGTAGGCGAGAGGAGACAGACTGTCACATAATGAAATGGTAAATACAACAGAAAGTTTCTATCGCCACAGGCAGTAAATAAGCACGTGAAACGATACGAGAAAGAAAACCGAGTAGCAAGAATGTTGAAAAACCAGTAGTGTTTTGAAAAAAAATGTCCAAGTCGAAGAAGTTAACATAAAACAAAGCATTTTGGAATTGAATAAAAAAATAATAATAAATAATAAAAAAATTGAAAAAATAATCCATAGGAATTACACGTAAGAGCCTGTGAGGCCTGATTAACCGTCATACTAATCAAAAATGTTATGTTATACTTTTAACTCTTTGATTACCAAAAGAATTCGATAACCGGGGTGAACAAATCATCGATGACGAACACACCTATAAAAGCATGAATAAGGGCGAGTTAAAAGAAAACTGTCTGCTTAGGACACGGCTTGCCCGTTTCAACGACAAATCGCAATTCTCTCGACAGAGATCTGCGCACGATCCAAAGCGAACTAAAGAAAAACATGCATTTGTGCCGAATACAATCCGTTGTTTTTGCCTGGGTACGCTCTGGAACTTACGCGTATCTCTATAAACGAAATCGGGATTTGTCTTATGTAGCGGGCAATCGATGTCCGCTGTATAGAGGAGTCGGTTCAGGACCTAGATATACATCAAAGTTGTGGAGTTGTCGGTTGAGAAATCGTAAAACTCTTTCACCATAACCCAACTTGGATGGGGGAAAGCTGAACTGTCATCCGGTTGACTATTGGGTCTATCCTATCCTAAGGGGTTCTTATGTATTTGGTCACTCTAAACCCCAGGTCTGTAGTTATCGGTTACCGCAACAGGGTAATTGGTCTTCGTGATCGCGGTATTCGCCTCTTCCATTATTCATCATACTAAGGTGTGCCATAAAAAGTAGCAAAAGCAGTACTGAGATCGTTGCCCATAACAGACACCGGAAACGAAGCAGTTGGGCTTTTATTTCTCGCAATATTACCTGTGAATATATATATATATATCATTTAAATCATTTGTGCATATCAATTATTGGACATCCTAAAGCAATTTGTCGTGGAATACAAAATCTACACAATACCCAATCTATTTTATCAGTTGACGGACGGATTTGATCGAAGCTCTTCACAAAAGGGACTGATAACTGTACCATATAGAATTCGATCATCATTGGTATAAGTTGTATTTTTTCTGTGCAAAAGTCTAATCTATGGACGCATTCATTTCGTTTTTCCTTAGTGACACAACTTAATATCAAGTTGCGTGTGGGCAAAAGCAATTGAACTATGATGAACCGCTTTGCAGAACAAATTGCGCCGTAAAACGTGACCGGACACGGTAAACAAATAGGTGTAGAGTACGCACCGAGCAACGTCGTTTGATATGCACGTGACGAAGTCGTTGAACAAGATAACCGACCAAGCCCAAGATACCGGTCAGCACGAACAGGGTGAAAAAGGCGAGCAATACATAAATCATGACTGTGGTCACATGATTTCGATCTGTGTGTGTCTGAGAGACAGACAATTGTTTCAGAAGATTCGCCACGGTCGCGTTAGGAGGACGTGGAGGTATCATTGAAGCCAACTGATCGGAAACTTTGTCCGTTCGTGTCCACCGGGCATAGATCGGTTGAATGGAGAGCATCCAGTAATACAAACGATCGTAGGTAGTGATATTCAAACGAAGCACTGATTGGTTCTGGTTAGGAGCTAGAGCAGAAAGCAGGAGGACAAGAGAGGGAGTAGGAAAGAAAAATTGCAATGACTTGAATTTTCACAAACCGATTGGAGTGGTTGTTTGTGGAAGACTGGCTGCTGCATTATAAGCATGTATACACGGCAGCAACATACTTAATCTGGAATCATCAGACGCTAAATGTGTGAGGAAAACCGAGAAACGAGTTAGGGTAAGAAGCGATACATTAGCTCTCTAGATGGGGAATATTTCATTTAATCAATCGGAAGTGCACCGTACTCATAGTGGTAACAGTCCGGTCTCAAAAAAGATAACCGTTCATTGGGACAAAATGATTACTAATACCACCACGATCAGTTTTATTAATACAAAAAACAACATGCACAGATTTAAACAGATCAAGTCGGAATCATCATTTGAAGCATAAACAAACTGCAAGTGCAAATCAATACGCAATTCATAAAAATATACAGGCGAATAAAAGAAGGACAAAACCTTTTTTTAGACTGAGCCAGAAAGGACAAAGGACAGTTCGGATGATGTTTCATAACGTGTGTCTATTTCAAACCTCAGTGCAATTAGATTGGTCATGCTTTGGTCTACCGGTGGGCTGAATTGATCAATAATTGTTCACAGAATCAAGATTTTGACAGTGAATGCAGCCACCGGGGGTGCAATACTACCGCGATACTGTTGAAATGGACAATCGTGGATTGTGTCATCCGTTTAGAAAGTTTCAGTCAATCACGGAGTACACGGTAAACCAACCAGGATGTTATACACACCGAAAAGCATGGGTATTAATTCAGTGTCCAGTTGCCTTCTGCATACCACCCTACAGAACACACTGTGAAATGTTGAACACAGCATCAAAAAGCTTACTGAAATGAAACACTTTCTCCCCAAATTATATCTGAGTTCGTCACATGTAACGGAAATAACAACTATTTGGTTGTATGTAGTCTTTTAGCCTTGTCGTATCGCACCTTAGTGAACTCAAGCATGAACAGATTAACACGAAGCTCACCGGTGGATCAGGCACGACGAAGAGACTCGTGTTCGGTATAGATTCTGAGTTGATAAACGCATTTCTGTCCTCGAAGAAGTTAGGAGGTTCAAAACATGCCATCGGGCCTTCGAAAGCATAGAAACAGTCACATTGTTCCAACTCCTGGGATCTCAAATTAGTCCTTACGTGTGAATACCGAAGCAAAGTCAAAGTTATATTATGGGAATTACTTGCATGTTCATACCTCTCTTGTCCCCACAGGATATTTACGCAATGGAATCGTTTCTCGGCAAAAAAATATAAGTATCACGGATGGTTCCGGGTGACAGATAAAACATGTGTTCCTAAACTAATTTACATTTTTAGTTGTGTAGGAATGTGAAGTGTGTCAGGGTTTCATCAAATCTCCGCTTGAAAGATTCAACAGTCAGCACACAAACGATGTGAGATGGAAGTGGTGCACACTGACTACGAAAGAGTGGCGCCCGCATTCCAATCGACACTTTGGAATCATTAACCTGAAACGATGTCCCCTAAGGTAGATGTTGGGTGACAACGTGAGTAGCGGACGACATGGACAGTTCGCGTTCTGGAATACTGGATACACCAAAATGAGGCTTCTTCGAAATCGGCGGTATATACATATATATTTCACACTTGTCTGAGGACAGACTGTGTGCCAAACAAATCATGGTACAATAATCTTTATAAAAAGAAAAATGTTCCATGATTGGCTTGTGGGCTGAGTACTG